GCAACGGGCACAGGGCAGGCTACACCCGGGACAAGACGCTAGCCCGACGCAGGGCAGACACGCACACAGGATCACAGGACGGTCAGTTTTCCCAGAACGAATCTACCAGCCTGTCTTTGGACTGTGCAAGGAAACCGGAGCACAACGAGGGAAGAACATGCAGACTCCACACAGACAGCACCCCAGGTCCAGAACTGAACCCCCAAGGGGCAGACAACTCAGGTCCTCAGCAACAATTTTAAAATATTTCACAAAGCACCTTAAACATCGAGTGTCTCCAAGCTCCGCCCTGTGCAGTCTGAGAGAGAGCCGATTTCCTCAGGATGACATTTCAAGGGTGGCAGAGCACTAGATATCACGAGGGAATGTGAACGAGGGAAGAACGTGCGAACTCCACACAGACAGCACATGCGGGGTCCGGAACCGGACCCCCGGGGCCCCAGCATTGCCCCCCACCCCCCCTCACCCGTCTCCTTCAGGTCGGCCGCCTTGGTGCGGGCCAGCCTGTCCCGGGTTCGGTCTCCCCCGTGCGGGTCGTCCTGGTTGGTGAAGATCATCAGGCGCTTGTGGCTGAGGCGCAGCTTGACGTCGCTGAAGAGGTTGGAGCAGGCCCACAGCGCCTCCCCCAGGGAGAAGTCGGGACTGCAGCCCAGCTCCTCCTTCGCCAGCTGCCGGCCCCTCTCTCCCTGGAGCCGGTCCAGCTCCTGGACCCGCCGGGCCCCTGACACAGAGGAACCGAGTGGGAGGCAGGGAGAGCGAGAGAGAGAGAGGAGGGTGAGGCGAGAGTGAGGCAGAGGGAGAGGGGGGAGCGTACAGCCGGTCAGGACAGGGAGAGTGCCCTGTGGTGACCGCAGTGGGGTCAGTGAGCTGTACAGTGAGCCTGGAGAGAGTACAGCCGGTCAGGACAGCGAGAGTGCCCTGTGGTGACCGCAGTGCGGTCAGTGAGCTGTACAGTGAGCCTGGAGAGAGTACAGCCGGTCAGGACAGCGAGAGTGCCCTGTGGTGACCGCAATGCGGTCAGTGAGCTAGCCCTGTCCTCACCTGGGCTCTCCAGGTCGTGGTAGACGTAGACGTGCTTGAAGGACACGGAGTTCTTGTGCTTGGCCGTCCCGTAGAACACCAGCGCCACCAGGTCGCGGTCACTGCTGATGATCTTGCTGGTGTAGACGCTGCGCACACACTGCGGCAGGAGACACGCAGCTGGTCAGTGCCTGCAGGGCCTTCTCTCTCACTCTCTCTCCCTCTGTCCGTGTGTCGCTCACCTGCAGGGTCATTTCGAAGGGGGTGATGTCATCCTCCGACTCCACCAACATCTCCTTCGAGGCATCGACCAGGAACACCAGGCTGTCCCGGCCGGAGAACTTGTAGTCCCCTGCAACACAGGACAGCACAGCACAGAGGGACTCACTACAGCACAGAGGGACTCACTACAGCACAGAGGGACTCACTACAGCACAGCACAGAGGGATTCACTACAGCACAGAGGGACTTACTACAGCACAGCACAGAGGGATTCACTACAGCACAAAGGGATTAACTACAGCACAGCCCAGAGGGACTCACTACAGCACAGAGGGATACACTACAGCACAGAGGGATTCACTACAGAACAGAGGGATTCACTCCAGCACAGAGGGATACACTATAGCACAGAGGGATTCACTACACCACAGCACAGAGGGATTCACTACAGCACAGCACAGAGGGATTCACTACAGCACAGAGGGATACACTACAGAACAGCACAGAGTGGTAGAGCACTGCACAGCACAACACAGACTGATACAGCACAAAACAGCACAGCGATACACTTCAGTGTGATACAGTAGTGCAGAACTGTGGTATGCAGTCCAGTGGTGTGTGTGGCAGCACGACACACAGTGTGCTACAACACAGTGCAGTGCAGTGTGATACAGTACAGCAATGTGAACAGGTCTGTATCAGCACGGTACAAGCATATAGAACAGTGTGAGGCACTAGAGTGTGACAGTACAGTGTAATAGAGTACAGTGCCACTTCCTGTGCTGTGCGGCTGACCCCACCCCCTCTACTTATTCACCACACACCCACCTCCAGACTCCTCCCCCTCCTCTTGCTCCGCCTCCTCCTCCCCCTCGTGACGGTAGTAGTCGTCCCACTCTGCCATGACCTGACAGCTGGCTCGGCCCCCTCAGATCTGGAACACACTCAAACACACACACACAGGCGCCTCTTTACACAAAGGGTGGTGGGGGTGTGGAACAAGATGGCCTGCCGCGATGGTC